CACCACATTCAGTACGTTTTTAGTGTTAGACGAATACAATTAGAAGCATATATCATATTATTGTTTTTCTATTGTGTGTATTACTGATATCCATTAATTATAAGAAAAATAAATATTTAAACATTTACTGCTGATGAGCTTCCAATAGGACGTTGTCATCAAGATACCAAGGTATCAGAAGCCATTATTTATTGGGTATAATACTAAACTAAATCACAGATTTGCCACAGGCCTACTATTTTTTTTTTATAATTACTCATATGTAGGTTAGGTTGTAATTGTATTGAAATTTTTGTTCAGCATAAAAATAGAATGAATAAATACAAAACGGTCAATTGAGATGTTTATGTTTATGCATTTTTACGCACGAAGCTTTCCTTCACTTATCTACATGTTTTTTACATCAGAGCATGAACGAAAATCGATTGGGCATAGTAACACGTGGCATTCATTTGTTTGGATTTCCAGAATAAATCCTTTGAAGATCTTCAAACGTCCTCAATTAATGCCAGACGGTCAAGTATTTCGAATATTCTTCATTATCAGTGACAGACGGAGTATTGATATAGTTAGCAAGAATTTTCATAGAATTTATGTTTTATCCTCTGACGTGTTATCGAACTGAATAATTGATACGATAAATAAGTTGGCTAACACCAATGTGAAAAACACACTGGACTCTCAGGCCTAGTTCTGTCTTTGGAATTTTGAACATAGTATACAAACAATAATTAAATCAAACAATTAATTCTCTGATTAAAAAGCAACGCATAACGATTTTGTAGCATGCATCTATATTTGAGCACTGTATTATTGCATATTTGATATATATATTATTTGTGTTTTCCGTCTGTAATTAGGCCAATCTTGTTTTAGTGGTCATAAATAATTGTTCTAATCTATCAAAAGTAATCGCGCAGTGATAAGCAGCAACTTGATTTTCGTATTATTTTCTCTGATTTACCAGATGCTACATAAGCTAATTCGTAACTTAAAAATGGAAGCTTAGCCCCCCCCCCCCTCCGTCTGCAATACTGTAAAAATAATAGTAACTCAATGAGACTAATTGAAAGTAATTTGAGTTCTGTTATGACAAATGCTCATTTAGATAGCCTCATGTGATGGTTTGAATACATCGTGATGGTGAAGCAACCTCGACCATGACAGTGTGGTTGACAGGCTTCATGCAAAATTTCCAAAATATAGAATTTCACTTTCAAGAATGTGGATTTGAAAATATATTAGATAGTTGCATACTCTTTGTTTCTTGCTTTGTTCAAAATGTTTTGGTTTTGGAAGCTGATTTCAACATTAGACAGCATAGCCTACATGAAGTCATATTATAGTAACTCGATGCCTATCAAATAAGTAATAAAAATTCGCCATAATTCATCAAATATCCGTGGCTTCCAGGGGATTCGCCCCTGGACCCCACTGGAGGCCCTAGGCGGCCCCTTGGCCCCCAGACAAGTGAGCTCAATTCGCCCCAATAGCACCCCCCCCCCGTCGGGGCCTTTAGCCCCTCCGTCGGGCAGGTCCTGGCGCCACCACTGACTACGGTATCTGTGAAACCTTTAAGTGATGAAGGGAAAGACTCTGGCGTTCTTACATCCACAATCTATCGTATGGGCCTCTGTGGTGTAAACGGTATGACGCTCGCCTATGTGTGAGCCCTTTAAGTTGTAAGTTAGATCATTATTTGATTAGTTATACCACAATGCTACGCAGCAACATTGATTCTATGTTACTTCATTATAATACAGGTATGACTTCTAGAATATTCTTTGGCAAACAGTATATCAACACACAGTATAAGGAAATTTTTTTTTTATTTGACAGGATATTTCCGATACGATACTCACATCACTCGCATTTATTCGAGCTCTGTTTTCACCATTATTTAATTATATAAACAGAGTGCTACACACAAAAATTAATTATAAACATACATACATACACATATATATATATTATATATTATATAATTATGCATATTTGAAAATGATATCTAGTTTATTCGATATTATTGCCTTCATACCATTATTTGAATGTGATATTTAATTTATGTCTACATAACTTCATTTATGCTAAAGTTATCTATATACTTTTCTTAATTTTTCTTGATTTTTCTTTTATTTCTTTTCACTTTCTCCATTATATTCATTTTCTATTCTTTTTATTTCTTTTCCTTTCCAGCTTTTCTTTAATTTTCTGTTTCTTTTCCTTTCAATATTTACATATGTGTTAAAAGAAAATACCACTATTTTCTTTTAACACATGGCCTTTAATGTCACTGTTTAAGGTCACGTACAGGTAAAAGTTGCTGTCACCTGTGACATTATAGCAAGTATCTACCTGGGAGTAATATCCAATTATTTTTATCCATGTCTCTCTCCACATGATTAAATGCATTATTTAACTCCCTATTTCATTTCCCCCAGCCCGCTTGTACAGGATGTGCCCCGGCAGCAATACTGAATATTTTATCTTGGCCCTATACTATCATGACCAGACCATCAAACCTTTTGTCTCTTTTCACATGATTAAATTTTCTGGGCTCCCGGTCTATAGTGTACGGGCCTCTGTGATCTAAACGGTATGACGTTTGCCGAGATAGATCTTTATTTATATTGTTTTGTAGTATTGTTACTGTTCACTCCACAACTTTTTAGCTTGCAAAACATTGAATTTTTTATTCCTCTATTATAATGATTGCCTGCGTGCAATAATATAATAACTGACCCTGGGTGTATGCAAGGGCTG